CCAGATGGTAAAGATATAGGTTTAAGGTGCAGCTGAGTGTGTTTAACTCATGATACAGCAGCATGTGTTTGGTTCACTAGGTAGCTAAATGTGATCACGTCATTGTACTCAGGTGTATTTATAAGAGATAAGCTAAGACTCTTGGGTTCCAGCTCTCAACCTTTAATTGACTGGTGTATCGCTCTCAGAGTCTATTGGGCTCTGCTAGTAATAAACAGCAGCTCCCATGTTACTCTGTAATATCTAAACTCCACAAGCAATTATGTATTAGCGATGAGGCCTACCATTAATGTAGAATGACATGTAAATATATACCTCTTGAAATATAATATTCTCTGTAACTAGATGACATTATAATTATTAGGTGTGAAGGATAGATGAAATTGTTTATGTAATAATCTCCGTGTAGGTCTGATAAAAACCTTTTGTGCCCTTTGTAATGCTGTTTTTTGCGCTACCGCTCACAGAACGAGTATGGGGTACACAATAAACTAATCGCTTCCGGCGGCAATAATTAAAAAAAATCTTCAGTAAATATATTTACCAATACGTAAAGGTTTAGATACGTCGAACCCTGAGAACAGTGAAAATGCCAGCAATGTCAGTTGGTGTTTACCGAGAGAGGACCTCAGTGTTGTTGACACCAAAGCCACAAGGAATCAACATGTTGTGAGCATAAACACCGTGAATATCTAGTGCGCCATGTCTGCTCAAATGTCCGCCATGTCTGCTCAAATTAAAAGCGTTAAGTGTAAATAAAACGATATTCGATACGTGGGGAATGCAGACAAGAACTGATACTAGGACATCCATGAGATCAACTTGGACATGCAAGCAATGTCAATGACTATTTTGAAGCATCATTCTTAACGATAGCTTCCAAAAGAAGACCTGAAACAAGGACATGATATAACTGCAATCGAAACATTCCCCAATCTAAAAACGTACTCAAAACAATGCCTACCCAATCAGGATGGACAGAGACTTCGTGTCTACTTAAACAAGGACTTAGACGTTGCACATTAATCACCACACACTTTAAGCTTTATTGGTTCATCTTACAGGTCGTATCATCATCCTCTTACATAAACACACTCGTGACATTTAAGTGCCAGGGGTCGAGAGTGCCGGGCCACACTTGGCACCACCCTTGAGACCTCCAGTTTACTCCCAGTTATTTAGTTCAGTGTTATTGTTCTTTTTTTTCTTTCTTTAAGGGATTAATATACATTTTTTAACGTTTTATATCCACATTTCAGTGTTTATATATATATTATATATATATATATATATATATATATATATATATATATATATATATATATATATATATATATATATATATATATATATATATATATCAGACACCATTCATACACTTACATCCATTCCTGGACGATACACATCTGTGATGAATCTCCCAGAATCCACGAGAACATCGAGGAACATTTCGATTCACCTGCGGTGTATGGGGCTCGAACCACGGACCCCACGTGTGGGGGGGAGTAGCACACGCGTTCCTTTTATCGAGGAACGATATTCTGTGACGAGGTGGACAAGTAAAGCCTTTTCAAGTGGAAGCTAAAACAAGAGGATATCGGTGGAAGCTGAAAATGTAGATGAGTAGGATAACTAGTACAGATATCAGGGGGGACTGAGTTCCCGGGGTGATACTAATAAGTAATATCAGTTGTTATCATTCCTCTCATCTCCGTCTCCATAGCTTGTTTCCCTCCACTTCTACTGGTTCTATTCCCTCTACCTTTCTCCCCTTCCCTCCAAATCTCCTTCCTCTTTCCTCCTCCTCCTCATCTCTCCCTCGCAGCATCCCTCTCATCCCTCCCTCATACCCGCATCCGTCTAGGCGTTCGTATCATTTCTGAATCACCTCATAATTATCAGTAATGTAACGTCCATTACCATCACATTCTTTACCACTACCACCACCTACACCACCACCTCATGCTCCATACACAAACACCAACATCACCACCTCATACACCATCACATACTTCACCTCCACCATAACCTACATAACCTGCCACATATCCTCCACCACCAGCACCATCACCACCGAGTCCTCTACCACTAGCTCACCTCTCCCCCCACCGCCACCACATACTCCACTACCAGCATGACTGTTACACAAACACAACAGTAACCACTACAACAACAGCAGCAACAACAACAGCAGCATCAGCCAGTAAACAACAACAGTTGCTGCAAAAACATCGGCAAGAAAACAGTCCACATGATATCAAATCTTAGCCACAACATGAATGTTGGGGCGTGAGAGATAGACACGCAGGAGAGTGCATCTTGCGTGTGAGATACACACGCTAGAGAGCGCATCTTGCGTGTGAAGTACACACGCATGAGTGCGCGTCTTGCGTGTGAGATACACACGCAAGAGAGCGAGTCTTGCGTGTGAGATACACACGCAGGAGAGCGCGTCGTGCGTGTGATGGAGGAAGCTGGATGCAACACTTTCAGTATAGTAGAGTCGGTTTCCTTGGCCCTAGTGGTTCAGGGCTGTAAGTTGTGGCGTGTTAAACACCTGTACAACACCTACCGTCGCCACCTCTACCCTAGTCCCAAAACACTAATCAGCAATTAGTTTGGCTTCTTATTTACATTCCCATAAAAAAATTACGTGAAAAATGCAACAACATCAACACCAATTTAAACATTTTAATTAAAAAGTCTTCATTAGATAGTCATTTCATTTAATTTTTCAAATAATTTCGCCTATCTTTTGCAAAAGTTAAATAAGAAACGAGTCTTTTCAATAAACCACACCATAATTGCGTGGTAAGCAGAATCCACGTGATAAAACTACGCTTTGAGGTCTCTCATTTGATTCCCTAGAGGCTTTACCTCACCTCTGGCGCGTCTCAAGGGAGAGAGGAGGGAGGGGGAGGGAGGAGAGGTGGTGCTTCAGAGGGTAGGAGAGGTAAATTAACAAGGGAGGTGGGGGAGAAGGCAGCTATCCACTAATTACCCATCCACCGGCGGCCCACAGGACACCCCCCTGCCATTCATTGGGTGGGAAGACGAACGTGTAATATCAAGCCTGACACAAGAGCCAGGCAAACAATCTTCTCTCTCGGTTTTCAGGATTTGTTTCTGGAATTTTATTTCACGATTAATTCCCAGCTTCAATCTTGATAGAATATTTTTTGGGGGCATTAAATTTAATTTTGCTGTGGATAATTATGTTGAGGTTGCGAGAGGGACAGAAAGACATACTGAAAGACAGACATAGACAGAGAAAGATAGACTGTAAGCCATGTATTACACTATTGTAAATCGTACACCATACTAAATGTTGTACAATTTGCTAGATATACATTAATCCCATGAAATGTGGTGATTAATAAATACTCACATTTCATAATTAAAATAAAAAGTTGACTTTCCACCAGCTTGTGAAAAAAATCATTTAAAAAGAAAAAAATATTTTGAGTAATTAATTATTTGTTTGTTATACTCATTAGGTAGAAAATTATCGAGTTGTTTTACACGGTAAAAATGACATTATAATTATGAATGCACATACAGTAACATGTTTTGTTGTCATTTTTTTAAAACTTCAATCAACTTATCGTGTAGTTTTCACTAATTAGTGAAGCATTTATGTGTAGAAATCATCGTATAATTATTTAGCTAAATAAAATATAATTTCGAATGTATTAGAAATACAGAATAGCAGTAAATCTTTCAATAATAATAATAATAATAATAATAATAATAATAATAATAATAATAATAATATACACAGAAATCACACTAACGTGATATATATATTATATATATATATATATATATATATATATATATATATATATATATATATATATATATATATATATATATATATATATATATGAGAAAATCCCATGAGGGCTGTGAGGTAAAAGCTATGAGGGTCAGCTATGAGGTTGGCAGTGCCTGGGTCGCAGGTTCGAGCCACCTCATATCCCTAGTGGATTTTCTCAATAACAACAGCGTTAATAACAATTAATAACTCTACGTCCTTCACTTTCTTCATCCCTATTTTCAACACTGCCTCTCCTTAACCTTTCCTTCTTTTACTTTAGGATATCTTTCCTCCGGCCCTTCTTCTCCTTCTCTACTTTCCCCTACTTTTACCCTTTCCCATCCAGTCGTTCTTGAGTCTTCCTTTAGTCCCCCCAATACTTCTCTCTCTCTCTCTCTCTCTCTCTCTCTCTCTCTCTCCTCTCTCTCTCTCTCTCTCTGCTGGAGGGTCAGAGGCAACGTTCGCTCGTTACTGAGGATTGTATCGTGGGACAATAGTGGAGAATTAATGCACTCCGCCTCCCTGCACTGTTTTCTTGCACCTTACCTCTGCAGTGCTGGGCACTGTTGGGTCTGAGTTTAGATGTGCTGGGATAACTTGGGTGTGTTCTGGACTGTGTTGGGTCCGGTGAGGGACACTGTTCCTCATATGGCTGTATTTGAACTGTAAGGTTGTTCAGGGTAATATTTATTGTTCATGAATATGATATTCTAGGCTGTATTGTGCTGTTCCACTCTGCTGTAGCTACCTGTACTTCAGCAGTGCCGTTAGCATTCATGTGTATAATGACATAATGTATTTCAGCTTTAATACACGTGGTTGGTTAGTACGGCTATGCAAGAAAGCATAACTGGAACGGGAAAATACAAACTAATAATGTGGCAATTTTGTAAACTACATTGCACGCTGTAGCAATGTTGCGCTCTGAAGGATTTGTTTTCTAGAACATATGAAGATAAAATTAAAAAAAATTGCACGACACTAACCTTCAAAGCTATCATTTAAAATACGATTATATAAAGCAATGAACTCCACCGACAATGCAAAATTCAATAGAAGAAGCACGATAGATAAGTCTGCAATAATCTTAGCGCTTTACTGCAAAATCCTTTAAAGGCAGCGCTAAAATGTTTTGCAGACACAATACGCTAACATGACACCCAGCATGTTGTTATTGCAGAGCTAGTTATTGCAGAACTAGTTATTGCAGAACTAGTTATTGCAGAGCTAGTTATTGCAGAGCTAGTTATTGCAGAGCTAGTTATTGCAGAGCTAGTTATTGCAGAACTAGTTATTGCAGAACTAGTTATTGCAGAGCTAGTTATTGCAGAGCTAGTTATTGCAGAGCTAGTTATTGCAGAACTAGTTATTGCAGAGCTAGTTATTGCAGAGCTAGTTATTGCAGAGCTAGTTATTGCAGAGCTAGTTATTGCAGAGCTAGTTATTGCAGAGCTAGTTATTGCAGAACTAGTTATTGCAGAAACTAGTTATTGCAGAGCTAGTTATTGCAGAGCTAGTTATTGCAGAGCTAGTTATTGCAGAACTAGTTATTGCAGAGCTAGTTATTGCAGAGCTAGTTATTGCAGAGCTAGTTATTGCAGAGCTAGTTATTGCAGAGCTAGTTATTGCAGAGCTAGTTATTGCAGAACTACAGAATATCTTGACACCCCGCATCTGCGTTGTTCTCTGCAGCCTCCTTGATATCCTTCAGTAACGGCGCTCACGACGACACTCTGGATAGGGTGTAAAAAGCCACGTGGGTCATGAGAGGTATACGACTCGCACTAAAAACTCCCCAGACACAATAAAAAACACATGATAAACTCACCCCACCCCCAACACATTCACACAAATATCCACACACATGCACACTCACACACCAACCTCCCCCCCCCCTCACCACATACACTCCAAACACACACACTAAACACTTTTTCTAACTTAGTTTTATGTAATGTTCAGGGGTATGCCACCTGGTTAGTCCCCGAGCTGAGAGGAATGAGCTACGAGGAAAGATTTCTGGAACAAATCCTCACGACATTGGAAGACAGAAGAGTTAGGGGAGACATGATTACTACGTGTAAAATTCTCTGAGCAATTGACAGGGGTAAATCAAGATAAACTGTTTAGCACGGGTGGTATGCGAACAAGGGGACACTGATGGAAACTTAGTACCCAAATGAGCCACAAAGACGTTAGGAAGAACTTTTTCAGTGTCAGAGTAGTTAACAGGTGGAATGCATTAGGCAGTGATGTGGTGGAGGCTGACTCCATACACAGTTTTAAATGTAGACATGATAGAGCCCGGTAGGCTCAGGAATTTGAACACATTGATTGACAGTTGAGAGGTGGGACCAAACAGCCAGAGCTCAACCCCAGCAAGAACAACTAGGTGAGCACTAGGTGAGTACACACACACACACACACACACACACACACACACACACACACACACAACACACACACAGTGTGTGTGTGTGGGGGGGGGGCCTGGTAGATAGCGCGCAGGACTCGTAATTCTGTGGCGCGGGTTCGATTCCCGCACCAGGCAGAAACAAATGGGCAAAGTTTCTTTCACTCTGAATGCCCCTGTTACCTAGCAGTAAATAGGTACCTGGGAGTTAGTCAGATGTCACGGGCTGCTTTCTGGGGTGTGGGTGTGCGTGTGGTGTGAAAAAAAAGAGGCGGGCCGAAAAAACAAAGCTCAACCTCCGCAAACACAACTAGGTGAATACAACTAGGTTTATACACACCCTACAGACAAACACACTTAAACACTCGCTCGCTCTCCCTCAACTGCCTGACACAGTAAACATGATCATTTATATGAATGTTTACAGATGATACAAAACTAATAAGGAGAATCAGAACAGATGAAGATCGTTGTTTATTACAAAATTAACTTGACACATCCCAAAGGTGCCAAGTTATTAGGAACAGAAAAGGAGTGAGGAGACGCCAGAAGCAGGTGGAAATGAATGCGAGACATCTTCCTGAATTAGAAAGGGAAAAAAGTCTATTAAACAGGTATAGCTTCACATATATCTACCACCAGAGGCACACAATAAGAAGATAAGGCCAAGGAGGACGAAAATCAAACTGGCGAGAATGCCTTCAGGAAGTTAGACAAAGGAGTTGTTTGAACACTGTCAATAACCTACGTGAGATCCTCTTTTGAGTATGCAGCCTCGGCACAGAGCCCAAATAAGAAATTGCACAAACCGAAACAAGAAAATGCCATGAGGTATGAATCACGATCCAATCATTAGTTGAGAATTGTGAACAAGTAGGAAAGGCTAAGGAAACTAGAATTTAATTTTCTGGCAGAAAGAAGAAACAGGGGTGACATGATAACGACGTGTAAGATTCAAAGAAAACCCGACTAAGCAGACAGAAGCAGTGTTCTATGTTTGGAACAATGCAAAGTTGGGACATGAAAATAGACAACAACTATTCGCAACTCTTAGGTTAATAACGATGCTACTTATATCGTCGCTGTATTGACACCAATAGAGCGAAGATATTACAGATATCATCATACACCTAAGTGCTGCGAATACATGGAATGAGTTAACTACTACTAAGCAGTAGTACTTAACTTATAACCGTCTAAAGTTAAATTTAAGTTGCAAGCAACGTTGGAGAATGGAGTCCTAAGAGTTCTCAAGGCAGGAGTTAAGGAGATAACTCTCAACCTTTGAGAACACAACAACGTAAGTACATGTTAGTGAGTTCACACCAGCACACACAGACGACCGCAAGCATAAAGTTTCCCAGCTAGTTAAGATCGTCCGCCCAACCCAGCATTGTTTCAGTGTTTGGAGAAGCAAGGTTTCGCAACACCTCAGGAAGCACTCCCATGGATGAAGCAGAAGACAACCATCACTTTCACTGCAAGAAATTTGTAACGTGCAAACAATAAATCATACATACACACATATATTAATATACGTTCACGCTTAAAGACACACACACACATATATATATACATAATACCACACAGACGACAACACACGCACACACACACACACACACACACACACACACACACACACACACACACACACACACACACACACACACACACACACATAGAGCCACGGGACATTAGCCATGCTGGATAGAAACACGATGACTTAATAATTATTTACATGGAAATTTCGCCACAATTCTGAACACTTTCTGCTCGAGAAGACACTGATGACTTCCAAGGAGTGTGGCGAGCTAAATCCCTGATGTCTTTAAAGGCCGGACAACGTATATACAACACAAGAAATTTCCATTACAAAACAGCCTCTTAATAAACGGCACAATGACCCATTGCGTAGAAGTACTGCAGAGAACAAAAGTACATAATAAACTTATATACAACTTTGCGACACTGGTAAAGTATTTAAAGTGGAATAAATATATATATATATATATATATATATATATATATATATATATATATATATATATATATATATATATATATATATATATATATATATATATATATATATATATATATATATGCGAACAAGCCTGAATGGTCCCCAGGACTATATGCGAATGAAAACTCACACCCCAGAAGTGACTCGAACCCATACTCCCAGGAGCAACGCAACTGGTAACTACAGGGCGCCTTAATCCACTTGACCATCACGGCCGTCAAAAGGAAGTGATAGCCGAGGCTATTTGAGCCACTTCCCGACGGCAACTCGGATGGTAATCTTGGGCATAGCATTTCACCAAATCACCTCATTCTTTGGGGCACACGTGAGGAACACAAAAAACACATTCTTTGTGTTCCTCACGTGTGCCCCAAAGAATGAGGTGATTTGGTGAAATGCTATGCCCAAGATTACCATCCGAGTTGCCGTCGGGGAAGTGGCTCAAATAGCCTCGGCTATCACTTCCTTTTGACGGCCGTGATGGTCAAGTGGATTAAGGCGCCCTGTAGTTACCAGTTGCGTTGCTCCTGGGAGTATGGGTTCGAGTCACTTCTGGGGTGTGAGTTTTCATTCATATATATATATATATATATTATATATTATACATACACACACACACATATATATATAATCTTGTCGTGAATACATATAGTGGCTTTGATTACATTGAAATTGACAACCAATTTTTTATTAATACTAAATACTGAAAACCTTTGATAATTACAGAGTAGATTATAATACCAGAATACGTTTCATAAAATATTATGCAACAAAAGGGCGGGCGACTACAGGCTCCATTGTAATAATAATTGATAATTAACGAGCATTATCGTGACAGGGAAAGGGGTCTCGAACCACGGACAGATAATATGCTTCTTCAACAATTATTTTTTTTTTCCTTAACATGTTTATCAGTATTATTGTATTCTCTTTTATTAACCATGGCGGGTGAGCATGCAATTATTGTAGGATGAATATGTTATTGTTGCTGGCTGAACATGTTGTTAGTGCAGTCGATTGCATATTCGAGGATATTTTTTAATATATATTTTTTTTCTTTGCTATTGTTTATTTTTTTCGGAAGTAGCAATTTGGTTAGCAATTTGCCATTGCAGTGTCCACGCTACACATACCAGGATGCACCCCCCCCTACACTACACATACCAGGATACACCCCTACACTACACATACCAGGATGCACCCCCTACACTACACATACCAGGATGCACCCCCTACACTACACATACCAGGATACACCCCCTACACTACACATACCAGGATGCACCCCCTACACTACACATACCAGGATGCACCCCCTACACTACACATACCAGGATACACCCACTACACTACATATACCAGGATACACCCACTACACTACATATACCAGGATGCACCCCCTACACTACACATACCAGGATGCACCCCCTACACTACACATACCAGGATACACCCACAACACTACACATACCAGGATACACCCACTACACTACATATACCAGGATGCACCCCCTACACTACATATACCAGGATACACCCCCTACACTACACATACCAGGATGCACCCCCTACACTACACATACCAGGATACACCCCCTACACTACACATACCAGGATACACCCACTACACTACACATACCAGGATACACCCCCTACACTACACATACCAGGATACACCCACTACACTACACATACCAGGATACACCCACTACATTACACATCCCAGGATACACCCACTACACTACACATACCAGGATACACCCACTACATTACACATCCCAGGAAACACCCCCCTACTCTGCATTCACCCAAGATACACCCTCACTAAACACCCAAGGATACCTCCACACACTCCACATCTTTTGATACATCTCTATGCTACACATCCCTGGCTACACCTCTAAACTACATACTCGAGTCGAAAACATACAGAAAATACCCGAGGCTACACACCCACATCACAAACACCAGCCTATCACCTATACAAAAACCCCATTACACATCCCGGACTACACTTTAGCATTACACAATTACTCTACACACCATAGGA